ATTGCAATGGTTTTCCATGACCTTAAGGCAGTAGTTTTCAACTGGGGGCAATTTTGCACCTCAGAGAGCATTTGGCAGTGTCTGAAGAAGTGTTTGGTGTCACAGCTTTATGGCGGGCATGCTACAGCGGTTAGCGGGTAAAGACCAGGGATGCTGCCATATCTACATTGCATAGGACAGCCTCTGCAACAAAGAATTATCCAGATCAAAATATCAATGGTGCCGAGGTTGAGAATGCCTGCCTTAAAGGGCTAGGATGCTTTTGAACTAGCTTAGGGCCCAGGACTGTGGAGTATGTGGACCACCCCACAGAGGAGGGACTCACATTTGTTTACTCTTGCTGGATATGTAGTGATGGAGTTTATTCCAGTGTCAGCCCCTCAGGAGGCCCCCAGACCTCCCTCACTTCCCAGACCCAGTCTAGGAGTTCTTTCTGGCTCCCAGGCACACAGAGCTTTCCTCTGCCTTTTAGTTTTAGTTCCTCCACTGGAATCTAGGCTCCTTACGGCTGATGGCTGTCTTTTCTTGACTTTGTATCTTCACTGTCAAGCAAAAAGTCTGTCAAGTGGGAATATTCAATAAATATGCACTGAATGATGAATGAACTGTCTTTGTACATGAATAATAATACTGTCTTGCATTTTCCTGGTGATTTATAATGGATACATCTGCATATTTTATTTCATTTAATTTTCAAAACCATCCTTTAAGGTCAACATCATTATCCTTATTTTGCTGACGAGGAAACTAAGGTTAGAAACATTTTGATTTACTCTAGGACATATAGCTAGGAAGTATTACTATCTTGATTTGAACAGATTTTCTGGTGCTAAGTCTGGTGTTCTTTCCATGAATCGTTGTGGTGATTTAGATGGAGCTTTGTAATGGGAATAAAACAGTACCTTTAAGTTCTTTCTGAAAAGGAGGTATCTAGCAATGGATAAATAGATATCACTGAATGAAATTAAATGTTGGTTAGGAACAGATTTAAGGCTTAAAAAATATTTTGTGAGCAGCAAGATTGCTTTAACTTTACAATGAAGTTTTGGTTGTCTGATTTGTAATGAGTACCTGGATACTCAAAATGCCTACCTGTGAAGCTTACTCAATAAAACTTTAAATCGTCTTATTTAGTCTGATTTTCTTTAAGCGGCATTCCCACTTTAGGGAGTGGTGATATCTACAATAGAAAATGCTTACTAAGTAATACCTGGGTAAGTTTTAAGAAAGGACGTCCTGCTCTCCGAAAATGGGAAAAGGAGCTATTTTTGACTCTCTGGTTATTCTGGAAAAATGTGGGCCTGGCGTGTAGAGAGAGAAGGGAGGAACTGATCATTCTCCCCTCTGTTTGAATTCTCTGAGAGTTTCTGTTGACACTTCTCTACAAACACTTCTCGTTCAGTTGTCACCACAAACTTTTCATTGAGCATGTAATTCATACCAGGTCCTGTGTTAGGCAGGCTGATTCTGTGCCCAGGCTTGCCAAGCAGAGAAGGCAGCTACACAGAGGGGACAGGAGGTTGCCCACCCAGAATGCACCAGACAAGCAACACAGGTGAGATCATGATGGTGAAACTCAAAGCTACAACTCATTGAGCACCTACTCTTTTCAAGCGCCTAATACTTTCCAGCAATATCCATGATGATGCCATGAGTTGTGGTTATTGCCAGCTTACAGAAGAAACAACTGATGCTCAGAAACAAGTGGTAAGTTGCCCAAGTTCACTTCCAAGTAAGCGGAAGAGCCAGGATTTGAACCCAGGTCAGTGAGTCCACAGGGTGTGGTCTTTCTGGAGTGCCACAGGCAGTGATTCCAGGCAGGCTGGACTGGCTACTGTTCAGATGCAGCAGGGCATTCATCCAGTTCTCTCCATGGAAGCCTGGTGCCAAATCCACCTGTCTCCATCAAGGTTGATTCCCTGTCTTCATCAACCTAACAATTACAGTTTTAATTGTCTGGCTACCCCCGTGCTCTTGAAACCATCTTTCCAACATCAACGCCGCACTCCCCTGCTTTCCCTCCACATTGGTTGCTGCTCCACAACATCCTTTCCCAGCTCCTTCTCTGCTAAACCACTAAACATCGAGTGCTCCCAAGCTAATCATTAAGCAAATCAGTTTTTGCTCTTTCTCCCTAGACAACAATCTCTCTCAATACCACAACCAACAGCATTGCAAGTAGGCAGGTGACATCTGGGTTTAGAAATTTGGCTTCCACCTCTTGATGTTACTGCCGGTCACCTAATTGTCACCAAATTAATGGTCTTGTTTGATTTTTAAAACTGCCCTCCCTCATCCAATCTATTAACAGGCCCGGTTGTTCTGCTACCAGAATAGATCCCAAATAATTTCACAACATTTTGTCTCCGCTGCCTGGCTCGGCCCACCATCACTTCTCATTTGGACTGAAGTGTGAGCCTCATAATTGAGTTTCTGACTTCCACATTTGTGCCCCCAAAATTCCTTCTCCACAAAGTGACCTTTAAAAAAATGTAAAGCTGGCTGGGCGCAGTGGCTCATGCCTGTAATCCCAGCACTTTGGGAGGCCAAGGTGAGCGGGTGGCTTAAGTCCTGGAATTTGAGACCAGCCTGGGCAACATGACAAAACCCCATCTCCACAAAAAAATACAAAAAATTAGCTGGGTGTGGGTAGCACATGCCTGTGGTCCCAGCTACTTGGGAGGCTGAGGTGGCAGGATTGCATGAACCCAGGTGGTGGAGGCTGCAAGGAGCTGTGATTGTGCCACTGCACTCTAGCCTGGGTGACAGAGAGAGATTCTGTCTCAAAAAAAAAAAAAAAAAAAAATCCAATTGGGTTACATCCCTGCTTAAAGTCCTCCAATGGCTTCCCATTGCAGTTGGAAGAAAATCCAAACTGTTTCACATATGTGACCTGGCGAAGTCCACAACTTGGTGCTCACTGCCCTACACTTGCCTGTCTTGCAGGCTTAACCTCCACCACACTGGCCTAATCTCTGCTCCCAAGAATGCTGAGACCACTGCCTGCTCAGGGCCACTGGTTTTTCAGTTCCCTCTGCCTACACTTTTGTCCTGACAGACTTTGTGTGCTGGTCCCTTCCCATCTTCTAGGCCTCTGTTACAATGCCACTTCCTAGCTGGGACTTTCTTACCCAAAGTTGTCCCCCAACTCTTGTTTTAAAATAAACATTATAGCAGTAATCACTATCAGAAATAATCAAATTTACTTGTTTCAAAAAAAATCTTTTTATCCCTCAACGTGATGTAAACATATGTTCTATAATATGATGCTGTCTCTCTTATTTACCATCTTATATTATCCTCATATCTAGCTCAGTGCCTGGAACAAAGTAGGTTTCAATAAATATTTGTTGAGTGGAGAAGCAAATACTTCTGTGATTGCAACATATTGCTGAGTCATAATGATATAGTTATAAGCCTGTATATTCTTTCTTCAGAATATGTGCATCTTGAAGGTCATTTTTTCATTGTGTTTGGCATGAAACAGCAACTCAATACAGTCTGTGACACTGAATTAGTTGATTGCCCCCTCCTAGGAGGCTCTGGTGTATTAATATGGGTCTCTCAATTAATGAAGAGCCTTAAGACCCTAGTCAAAAATATTTGGCATCATAGCAGGAGGTAGGGAAGGATACTTGTTTATTTTCTGGTATCTCTCACATTATTTCACTCAGGCATTTGCCCCTAAGAGCAGCGGCTCTTTGGTCCTTCACACCCCCTGGTCTGTGGATCACCCAGAAAGTCCCCTAGCCAGGCTCATGGACTCACAGTCAGTGGTTCCTCCCCACAGCCCATCTCCTTCCCCAGTGTCAGCTCTTAGATGACATTTCTTTCTTATGGTTACCACCATACTCTTGCTGGGAGTAAAAGCTCTATCCTCATATGATTTACTCAGCAGGTGGTGGCATTTACCTGCCTCTCCAGTAGGCCTGGGAGGGCAGAGGTCATATCCCAGTTCCTCACATGGTGCCTGGTGTGTTATAAGGGTGTGGTGTGTATAAGAAACTCCTTGAATTCACTGGAATTGAGAAGAAACTTTAACATTTGATTTTTGGTGGGTCTTTGCTGGAGCTGCAGTCTGGGGGAGAGGTAAGTCTTGGAGCTGACCCCTGGGGCAGTTCTTCCATTCTCTACCCCATTAGCTTTAGGACGCAGTGGGCTTTCAAGATGATTTGGGGAGGAGACCCTGGGAAATTCAGCTTTCTTTTTTTCCTTTCTGATTTTCTCTCAGGCTTGCCTAAGTGCTTAGTACAGTGCCTAGCACATACTACACACTCCGTTTTACTTGTTGCTGTTCTAATTCCTGCTATAGACCGAGTTGTGTCCCTCCTAAGTTCATACATTGAAGCCCTAACCCCCCAATGTGTTAGTATTTGAAGACGGGGTTTTTGGGAGGTCATTAGTGTTGGACGAGATCATGAGGATAGGGCCCTCATGTTGGGATTAATGACCTATAAGAAGAGAGAGAGAGCTCTCCTTTCTCACTGCTTTATGAGCGCAGAAAGTGTCCATCTGCAAACCACGATGAGAGCCTTCACCAGGAACCCAATGGCCCAACGTCACTCAGGCAAACACCTGGCACATAATAGGCTTGCAGCAAATGTTTATGCTCTTCTGAGCTTCTATCACATGAACAGAATTTTTCTTTTTTAAAGGATGTTTTTCATCACCTCCACAGTGTTTTTCATGTAATCTTTTCATTGCTTTATGGCCTGTTTGCTTAGACTAAGACCAAAAGATGGGGCCAGGAGTGGTGGCTTACATCTGTAATCCCTGCATTTTGGGAGGCTGAGGTAGGAGATCACTTGATATCAGGAGTTCAAGACCAGCCTGGGCAACATGATGAAACCCTGTCTCTGCTAAAAATGAAAAAAAAAAAAAAAAAAAAATTTAGCCAGACCTAGTGGCATTTGCCTGTGGTCCCAGCTACTTGAGAGGCTGAGATGGGAGGACAGCTTGACCCCAGGAGGCAGAGGTTGCAGTGCATGGAGATTGGGCCACTGGACTCCAGCCTGGGCAGCAGAGCCAGACTCCATCTAAAAAAAAAAAAAAAAAAAAGACTCAAACATGGTACTAACAACAGGAGAGAAGTGGGTGGGAAAAAAGCAAGCGAATTGGAACTTTTGAGGCTCTAGAACACCATTCATAGGATTATATGCTGATAATGTTTATTTTAAACATTTATTTATATTTAATATTATCTATTAATAATATTTATTCAAAAATAATGACATTACTATGTTGGCCACTAATATTGGCCTACAAAAATTTAACACAGGAATCTTGAAGATTTGATGTCCACAGAAGGCGTGAAACCAAAGCAACGAGAAACACAAACACAGAGAATTTCATCCTTTCTGCTCACTGAAAATTCTCTCTTCTTGAGAATCAAGTCTTTTAAAAAATATATTTCGTGAAACTGAAATAATCAGCAAGGATTTTGTTTAGCTCTTTTAACAGAGACCAAATGACAGTGCCTCAGACAAGGTAGAAGATTGTGTGTCTTTCATGTTAAAGCCTCAGCTGCTCAGCAGACCAGGAAGCAGGAAGTTAGGCTTCACGTGTCTGTGAACGAATCATACCAAACTCCCTGCCCTCATGAGGTGGGGGCAGGGTGGGGTGGAGGAGGAAACCAACATCCATAAAGACAGAGTGTACTAGAGGGTGACAGCAAGCAGGAAGAAGGTTAAGCAGGGTAAGAGTTGGTAGTCAAGGAGAGTAGATTAAATTTAAAGACGGGGGCCAGGTGAACCACTTCAAGAGGGAGCCTACCAGGTGAAACTAGAAGGAAGCAAAAGAGGAAGTGGTGGAGGTATTTGAGGGAAAGCAAGCAGAGGGGATGGGCGGTCAGTTCAGAGGTCCTGGGGCCTGTTCACAACTGAGCTGTCTGAGGAGCACAAAAGCGTGGCTGCCATACACAGAGTGAGCAAAGGTCAGCAAGATGGTTGGGTTTTTACTGAGATGGGAAGCCTGCAGGGGACTGTGGCAGAGGAGTGGCATGATGTGACTTAACACTTAAAGAATTGCGCAGGCTCCTCTGTGAACAGAAAGCAGAGGGCAAGGGTAAAAACAGGGAGATCAGTTAGGAGACTATTAAACAGTTTGTGCAAAGACTTCAGTAGCCGACACTGGGTTGACAGCAGTGAGGGTGACTTCAAGTGGGCAGGCAGGCTGTGGATGTACTGTGAAGGCAGAACAAACAGGATTGGCTGATGGAGTGAGATGAGACGAGCCCAGGACAATCGTCAGCATTTTGGCCGGAGTGACTGGAGGAGTGGGGCTGCTGTTAAGGGAGGTGGAAAGGCTTCCAGAGGAGCAGGTTTAGAGGGAAGTCCAAGAGTTTCATGTGAAACATGCCAAATGTGATATTCCTAGTAGACATTTAAGTGGAGATGTCAGGTAGGGTTGGACGTGCGGATCAGGAGTTCGGGGAGATTGGCTGGGGAGAAATACGTGGGTCATCTGATGATAGTATTAAAGGGCTTGCAATGAGAAGTGATTATTGAGAGAATGAGTGAGGGAAGAAGACAAGAAGGAGAAAGAGTAAGAGGAGGTCAGGTGGTTACTCCCGTCACTTCTGCCTACATGCCTTTGGGCAGAACTCAGCTGCATCTCTTTACCCAGCTGCAAGGGAGGTTGGGGAATGAAATTTCTACTTGGGTGACCGGGGGCGCAGCTAAAATGTAGGGGGTTCTATTACTAAAAATAAGAAGAGGAGAAGGGGAATAAGAAGAGGAACAGTTAGCAATGGCTTCCAACTTGGTGTTTTTATGATGCATCTAATGACAAAAAGTGAGATGTGAGTGCTGAGTTCCTGCAGGGAAAGGGGAGGACCGGGGGAGGGGCGGGGAGGGAAGGGGAGCCACAGTCCTCGGGGTGCCTTCAGGAAGGGAGAGGGTGGCTGTGTGTAAAACTTAAATTACAGCTGGGTTTAATTTCCAAATTTGACAGATGACCCCCACCGAAGCAGATGCTCCCCTGTTCCCTGCTGGGACCCGGTCCCAACCCCAGTACTAGCCCCAGTGGTGAGTATTCAAATTCCCAGGCCCATCGAGTTTTGGTTGGAAGTGTGGGGAGCGGGGGTGGGGAGGGGGCCTGTTCCTGGATCAAACATAGGATGTTCAGTTAATTAGCATTTTAGGTAAGTAACAGATAACTTTCTGAGTATCAGCTAAATATGTCCCGTGCAATATTTGGGCATACTTATGCTAAAAAAAAAAGTACTGATTGCTTATCTGAAATTCATGTTTAACCCGGTGCCTGTATTTTTATTTGCTAAGTCTGGCAGTTCTACATCTCTTCAACCTTTTTTTTTTTTCTTTCTACTGTTCCCATTTCCACCCACCCAAACCCATTTTTGGGCACAAATACAATTCTTTAAAAAAATGACTAGCATAGACTCTGATTTTCCTCTGACATTTAAGCAAATTTTTCAGTCTTTGTGAACAGAATCTTCATGTGACACCAGGAAGCATCACATATTTTGAAGCCACTTATAAGATGTATAGTGCTGACATCTTCCTGCCTCCATTACTTTGCCTGTAGAATGAGGCATACAATTCCTATCCCTGCTGTCACATAGTAAGTGTGCGATAAAGGCTCACTAATATTTTAAAAGTACGTATGTCAGAGGCTCAGGGTGTGCATGTAGAGGGCATGGAAAGAAGTCCTATTACTCCCCATTAATAATAAATATATAATGCATAGATATCCTCCAAAGGATACATATGCATTAGTAATTAAATGGATCTTGTGGGGTTTTGTTGTTGTTTGCTTTGTTTTGTTTTGAGATAGGTTCTCACTCTGTCGCCCAGGCTGGAGTGCAGTGGTGTGATCTCTGTTCACAGCAGCCTCCACCTCCCAGGCTCAGGCGATCCTCCCACCTCAGCTTCCCATGTAGCTGGGACTTGTGATGCCCTGTTCATTCTGCCCTAAAGGATCATGTAACTTGTTGGAGAAAATACCTTTAGAATTTTCCCAGGAGTAAATTATTCACTATACCACTCTTGACCAACCATTTCCTTCATGTCCTGTGAAGTTCAGGGAAAAGATAGAAAGAGGGAAAGCAACTAAAGCCTCTCACCCTCCTTCTGCTCCTGGCCTTATGCTGTGCTCCTGGACTACATTATATGAAGTCAGCTTTCAGACAACCCTATGAGGTAGATATCATCAGCTCCATTTCACATACAGTGCTGGGAGTCAGCGAGGGTAAGTAATTTGCTGATGATCACAAAGTTGCTAGGAGCAGAGATAGGATTTAAACAAGACTGCCTCATGGAAAACCGTGAGCTCTGAAGGAAGGGCAGCAGGGCCTCCTGGTCTGGACTCTGTTGGTGTGGGAGGGCCCCCGTGTCAAAGCCACTGGGTGGGACTGGCTGGCTTGGGTCTTCAGTTACAATGGGTCTTCTTGGGTCTTCAAGATACAATACTTCTGTGAAGAGAAGTATTGTATCCATGAATCACTTGGATTGGACATGGCCTTGGGAGCCCTCTTGGGAGCAACTTATCACTTTCCCTGTGCTCTTTTACTTAAGAAGAGGATGGCAAGCCCACAGATTGTGAATTTATTCCTTTATTCTGGCTAACGACCTGCAGCCCTGGAGGTGTATGGGTGAGGGCCGGCACCCTGAGGTCCTGCATACACGAGCAACCTCCTCCTCTGGACGACACTTGGATCAGTTGGAGGCTCTCAGAATGAGGGACAGATGTCTTTTCATACTTCTGTAGAAAGAGGGGAGACTTCATGTCACTCTCTGACATGTATCAGAAAAGGCTTCCCTGACGGTGAAGGCAGAGCTCAGTCACCCTTGCTCTTTCTGCTTTCCTCTGCCTCGTCCCGTCACCCTTTAGTCTGAATGGGTTGTATGAGCTTCCTAAAAAACAGAGTTCTTAAAGCATCAAGATTTATTGGAATATAAAAAATTCATGAAGACAATAGCATTTGCTATTTCTTCTTTCTTGTGGCAGGCACAACTATAATTGATAGTTGAATTGATTTTCTGTTAATAGCATGGTCTGACTGACTATAAGGTCAGTGAAAGCACGAACTTCACATTCTGTTTCCCCCACTGCATTCCCAGCACCCAGCACAATTCATCTCTCATGCATTCAATAGGTATTTATGAGGCAACCATTATCTGCATGTCACTGTGCTAGGTATGGTGAAAAATAGTTCTTGGTCTATTCTAGGTACAAATCAAAATAGGACTTGGTATCTGCCCTACAAAAGTATGTAGTCTAGTAGATGAGACACATACATGAATAAGTATCTCAAGGAGAGGGAAAGATGTGTCTCAGAAACAAAGACAGAGTAAGAGGAGAAAGGAGAATCAGGAGTTGTCACAGTGTGACGTCTGTGTGATGCAGAAGAAAGGGGAGGGCCCTTTAGACAATCACAATGTTGCTGGAGAATGGAGTGTATGAAACAGAGAGGAAAAAGATGAACCTGGAAACCTGGACTGAGGTCATATTAGCAATGGCCTTGTATGTCCCACAAAGGAATTGAATCTTTTTCAACCAGGTGAAGAAGGGGAATAAAGGCTTTCATGTGGAGGAAATAAGCTGGTCAGATTTGTTCTCAGTGTGGGATGAAGCAGAGTGTGGTGGGTGTGTGTGGAGAGGGAGGTGTGGTGACGTCACAGGGCCAGTGATGGGGACGAGGGCCTGACGAAGGCAGTGCCAGTAGGACAGAGAGGAAGGTCTGGATGGCAGCGACATGTCCAGGGTAGAGTGGCAGAAGTTCCCATTCCTGCAGGTAAAATATGGGAGGGGAGGCAGAGGAATGAGTTGAGGATGGTTCTAAGTTTTCTAGCTTGGAAGATGAGGTTGACTGGAGAAAAGAAATAAAGGGGCCAAAATTGATTTGGGATGCATTAAATTTGTGCTCTGGATCCTGTTAGAATGGTAAATTTACAGTGGATCCTATTGGACGAGAAGCTAGGGGCTAGGGATCTCAGGCAAATGGGAGAGTGCATCATAAGAAGATGCGTTGAACAGAAGAGCCACAGGGGGCACTGATATTTAAGGAAGAAGCAGAAGAAATATGAAGAAGAATGAGAAAGAGTAGTCAGAGATATGACAAGAGAAAGAAAAAAATGGGTTTCCCAAGTCTCTAGAAGGCAATAATTGCATCAGAAGCCCAGATTGTGAGTTCATACATTCTTTTCTAAGGAAGGTGTCTAGAACTGTGGCAGGCAGAATTTCTGGTGACCTCCCTAGGATAGCCACACTTTAATCTCTAGAACCTGTGAGTGTGTGACCTTCCATAACAAAATGAAGGTGGTGGGTGGAACTAAGGCTAAGGACCTTAAAATAGAGACATTATTCTGGATTATGTGGGTGGGCCCTTGAAAGGGAGTTGGGAGGCAGAATAGGGAGTCAGAGAGATGTGATGATAGAAGAAGAGGCAGGAGAAATTCAAAGAACGGGCAGGACTTGACCTACCATTGCTAGCTTTAAAGACAGGAAGGAGGCCATGAGCCAAGGAATGCAGGTGGCTTCTCAGAAGCTGGGAACGGCTCTCCGCTGACAGCCAGCAAGGAAGCGAGACTTCAGCCCTACACCTACAAGGACTGAATTCTGCCAACAACCTGAATGAATCAGGAAACAGATCCTCCCCCATAGCCTCCAGAGAGGAACACAGCCTTCCTGACACCCTGATGTTAGCTTGAGTCCCAGGTCGGACTTCTGACCCACAGACTTGTAAAATAATAATTTGTTTTAAGCCACAACATTTCTGGCAGCTTGTTATTGCAGCAAAATGAAACCACAGGAACTGAAGTGGGCCAGGGTCCTCACCTGGTCCCTCTTTCTTGGCCTTTTCCTCAGGCGGCAGTGGCCCCTGGATCTATTGTTGGGGCTCCTTTTCATCCCCTCCCATATTTTTTATTCAAACTGGATCCAGGACCAAAACCATTTTAAAGGGCAAAAAAATAATAATTAAAGCAAAGATTGCAATTTGTTGGGTTGTAGGTCAATCTTGTCCCAGCTAAGTTTTGTTTTAACTGTCATGTTGCAAAATTTTTAAATTTCTCTCCCCTCCCTCCCTCCCTTCCTCTTCTAAGTAGAAGCTCTGGCAACACTAGGTTGGCTGGCTTGAGCAGAGTCTCTGTCCCCTCTGGGACATCTTCTCCAGTCAGCTGCAGTCTACCACTCCCTCTTCTCTCTCATGGGCTGCTTTACTCATTTATACACCTTGCCTGTATTCTACAGGTGACTGACTTAGTGACACTAGCCTAACTGGCACGAGAACATGTTAGATCTGGGATCTTTGAAGGGAATATGCAAGAAACTAAAAGAAGCAATCAGCAAGACTTAATAAAAGAGAAGATGTTTTTTCCAACTCACGGTTGCCCTAATAAGTATCATGGAGCCTTTTAAATAACATGTTTGTGTGTTTGTATACCTGCAGGAGTACACCTGTGGTGAATGTGGAGAGAAAGATAATTAAAAAACAGGAAGACAGGGCAAAGATCCAAGTTAAATGTGTCAGGAAAACTACCTTTCTTTTCCTTAAGTGGGACCTGTCTGCTGCCAACATGCAGGTTCAGCCATGCCCCACTCCAATGCCAGTGTATTTCAGTATGTGACCGTGAGTCAGTGTTTTACTAGATCCTGGTCAGTCACCTTGTTGCTGGCCTGACATCCTCTCCAGTCTCATGCATAGGGCTTTTGACTTGTTCCTTTTTGAGGAAGCACTTCCCTGTTACCTCAATTCTAGTAACTGAAATCTTCTTTATTCCTTACCTGGGATCTTGCCTTAGTTTTTTGCCTGATTTTTAGGAACTGGGATTTTGTTTCATGCCCACTCTTCTTTCTATGAATTGCAGTGCTGTTCTAAAACTCTAGCCCTGTTCGGGAAGGGAAGCCTCATGCCCTTTTGTCCAGGTCTTCCTGTCTTGCTGGGCCTTCTCCCAGGGGCCCAGGGGGCTCTCCACACCTGGCCTTCTTTCAGTGTCTTCTAGAATCATGTCTGCCTACAGTCTTCCTGGACCTCCTGCAAGCACAGCCCTACCAGGTGACCTCAGAGTCTCAGGTGTTCATGAGCTCTGTTCTAACATCACCTTTTTCATCCTTGTGAAAAGTCTGGGAAATAAAAAACATCGACACAACAGGAAGCTTTGGATGCAAATTTGAAAGGGTTCTCCAAAGAGCTTCACAGTCCTTTCCTGTTGTGTAACCCACAGAGATGACAAGCCAACCTGTCCTCAATTACCTCTGGTGGGGGCTTGTTCAGGAAATTCTGAATCATTTTACTTCTGATTTTTTTTTCAAAGGAGAGAAAATAGGTCTATTCATTTAAAATTGTGACAATAGTTTAGGGCTTTAGCTCAAAAACTTTAAAGTTTTTAAAAAAAATCTAGTAGTTGGCAAATGAACAGAACTCTTGGGAAGAACAATTCCTTTTGTGCATGAAAAGTTGCGTAAACGGTTGGCATAGAACAAGAACAGGACAAAACATCAGAAGTGGTGTGTTCTAGCCCAGATGCTGCCATTTACTGCCCAGTAATCTTGGGATAGTCACTTACCTTCTCTAAGGTTTAGAAATAAATGATTTCTGACGTGGTTGCCCACAGGTTGTTGTGAGGACTTACTGAGACAGCGGATGTGAGTCATTGCCCAAATGGGAGATCCTACCATTAAAAGACGCCATCTGTCCCTGTTGATAGTTATGGCACCTTGTTCCTGATTGCATTCAATGATCTCGACATCCATTTGTCACTGGATTCTTTAACAATCTGAGCCAGAGTCTGCGCAAGGCCGTGAAGCTGCAGAGCGAGACCGAGAGCCCAGGTCTCCTGACCCAGCCCACCGTGGAAAGAAGCGCTTCCTCTCATGCTCTGCCCAAGTCTTACCCATTGCAGTCTGGTCCTGCCATATCTGGGCCGTTACCCCATTACTCTTCTTGATCATTCCTGGGGAAGATGGCACTAGGGCCTTTCATTTTTGACCAGAGAAGGTTCTGTCAGTGTTAGGAGGCCTCTGAGAGATGATCTGCCTCTGTTGGGGGTCTGGCTTAATTACTTCTCTTTTTTGATGTAGGATTTTTGTCTAAAGGGAGAGAGAAGAGCCAGTTATCACAATGATGATCCAGTAATTGAAGCTGCATTCTCTACCGGTTTGTCACTGTCATTTCCTTTAGGAATCGCAGTAGCCAAAACTGAAGCTTCAGGCTTTAGGACAGGTCTTCACATTCTTAGTCTCACCTTCTTCCCTAAGATCTTACATGCTCTAGGCCATGCATTGCTTTTCCAGTGTGAAGAGCCTCAAAGTATCTGGTTTGTCTTCTGGGCACTGGCACTGGCAAATAATAGCTGTGCAGCTCCAAGTCCCTGTTGGAAGGACAGGTCTGGAAGCAAGCCTGAGAAGTGACTTGGCTGGCGAGTACACCAGGACTGTCATTCAGAGGCTGTTTTTTTTTTTTTTTTTTTTTTTTTTAAATGGGCCTTGGTCATAAAAACAAAACTAAAATAAAAATAAATAAAGACAAGTCTTGCTCAGAGAATGCAGCCCCCACCCTGGGCTTATGGTTGTAAACAGTGGTCAGGGACCCTTATCCGTAGTGCATATTCCAGAAACAGGGTATGGAATGACACCCAGATTTAAGGGCTTACTTAGTATTCTAATCATTACTAGAAATAAAGTATACTCAGGATACCCTGTATGTAGTCCAAGTCGGATGTTAGATGTTAAGGATTCCTTTTTTTCCTGTTGGTATTCCGTCTACTTCATTTACATATGACTAAAATTACGGGTACAGAGTTTAGAAAGTGGTATGTCATATGACCTCAAACTATCTGAGCATGAATCCCCTAAAGCTGGTGTTGACATGGAGCCACTTAGGCCCTCAAACGACTCTTTGGCACTCCCAGCTATGGTTTTCAGGACCCCTGAGGATTCTTCCAGAGCCCTAACTTAGCATCAGTTTCACTTGGAAGCTTGTACAGAAGTGAGGTAGGCTGAAGCAGATTTTAACAGACTGAAGTCCCTTCTGTTCTTGTTGCCAATATCCTGCCAAGCAGAAGAACAGATCTTTCTTTTCCCACCTTACACACCCTGCCCTAAACAGCTGGAATATTCAGGAAGCTGGCAATAAAAGACCATCTGAATAAAGAAAATGTAGGACATATATACAATATAATACTAATCAGTCGCCGGGCGCGGTGGCTCAAGCCTGTAATCCCAGCACTTTGGGAGGCCGAGGCGGGTGGATCACCAGGTCAAGAGATCGAGACCATCCTGGTCAACATGGTGAAACCCCGTCTCTACTAAAAATACAAAAAATTAGCTGGGCATGGTGGCGCGTGCCTGTAATCCCAGCTACTCAGGAGGCTGAGGCAGGAGAATTGCCTGAACCCAGGAGGCGGAGGTTGCGGTGAGCTGAGATCGCGCCATTGCACTCCAGCCTGGGTAACATGAGTGAAACTCCGTCTCAAAAAAAAAAAAAAAAATACTAATCGGTCATAAAAAGGTAAACTCATGTATTTTGCAGCAACATGCATGGAACTGGAGACCATTATCTTAAGTGGAAAGTCAAATACTGCATGTTCTCAGTTATAAGTGGGAGCTAAATAATAATGACACCTGGGCACAGAGAGCAAAGTAATAGACAATGGAGATGTGGGAGGGTGGGAGAGTGGGAGGTGGGTAAGGGATGAGAAATTATCTAATGGGTACAACGTGCAGTGTTTGGATGATGGCTACACTAAAACCCCAGACTTCGTTACTTCCCAATATATCCATGTAACGAAACTGCACTCGAACTCCTTAAACCTAAAAACATTAACAGATACAAATACAGGATCATCTGGGACGCTTCCACCAGCAGCAGTGTTCTACTGAAAAGTGGGTCAGAGACTCCAACTTCTTAAAAGTGCCGGTCCTAGTTGGAGGTGAGAAACACAGAGAAACCCCTCCTTAATTTCCCTCCAGACGCAGCAAGCTCAATTTCTAGGTTCTGCATGCCAAGAAGAGGCAGGGTTCGAAGCTAGTCTCTAGAAGGTCTATCCCCTCTCCCATTGCATGGCTGGACATAGCAGCTCTGAACTGAAGAAGATTTCCGGCTCATGCCTACCCCTGGACAGGATACAGCTGCATGGCAGATATCATGAATCTTGGCTGAGTAAGGTTGCTTGATGAAGCTAAAGAGAAACACAGAGAAAAACTGCATCAGAACTCATGGCACAGACACAGTCACTGATAGGCCTCCAGCCTGGGGGGGGGCCATGCCAGGAGGGCTTCTGGGACCCCTCCAGGGCAGGGGTTGGAAACTGAAGGTAAAGCTGGCCTGTTCCAGGGATCTTCAGGTGACCTGGTTTCTAAGCTGCAATTTGTGTGTCCCAGGAGACCTTTCATCTGGACACAAAGGCTATGATGTCAATCACATAGATCCAGGGAAGTAAAATAGGAGATTAGGCCAGATGAACACTAGAATCACAGGACTTTAGGGCTGTTTGGACCCTATGGATCACAGGCAATGTTCCATAGTGGCCTCCCCCATTAAGCAATGAGGAAACACGTGCAAATGGGCAGGTCAGGTTTGCTGGCATTTCATGCTCGTGAGAAGCAGAAAAGCAGTATTTCCAACCTCTTTCCCTAATAGAAGCTGGCAGTTGGGATAGAAAGGGAAAGTTTGGTGGGAGAGACCATGGGGAAACAAAGGCAGGGTTAGTGCGTGGGAGTGGGGTTGATTCCTTGAGACTGAAGATGGGGAAGAAAAAGAACATAATATGGCCTCAGTATGGGAGGTTAGCACTGCACAGTTTGTGACAGGGAAGAGATTCACAGCAGGAGCCTACAGGAAGCAGGAGGTATGGGATGGTGTGTTCAAACCAGCAGTTGGTCTCAGTGTGAGGGGGAAGTAACAATTAGGACATTATCACAGTCTCTTAATAAAGATCACACATCATGCCTGGAAATGAGAAGATGAGTCAGCAGAGATACAGAGAAGCTTAAGGTGCCTGCCTTCCCCGGTTACAAAAAACCAGGAAGATACGATTATTCAGATGAGACTTGCTCACAGAGCCATGGAAGGAGGTCAGGAGACTCAGTTTTCACCTCCTCTCTGCCACTCACAAGCTGTGTGATCTTCAGTCAGTTATTCACATTTTGGGGGTCTCAGGCTCCTTATGGTCAATAAGGGGATCGGCCACGCTGGTTTTAAAGTCACCCTCTGATTGAGTAGTAAACTTTTGCTATCAGTGGGGATCCCACTCCAACTCACAATTTTGAGCTGAACTTATGGCTTCCCATTGAGGGTGCAACCACTCGATACCTCTGAGCAAGGTGAACCTTAAGATGGCATTGTCTCCTGGGGAAGGACAAAAACAAGCATTAAAAACACTGCAACAACTGCTTATTTACTGAAATAAATCTTTCTAAGTAAGCAATAAAACTTTTGTTTAACACACCTTGGATTACAAAATGTTAATGATAAAACGTTATCTCAATCTAAACCTTTGTATCTGAGGTGCTGTGGTTTGAATGTTGCCTCCAAAACTCATGTTGAAATTTAATTGTCATAGAGATGGTATTAAGAGATACGACCTTTAAAAGGTGATGAGGCTACGAGGGGTCTGCCCTCATGAGTGGATTAATGCCATTATCATGGGAGTGGGTTTGTTAAAAGGGTGAGTTCAGCAGCCTCGTGTTCTCTCTCACACTCTCTTGCCCTTCTGCCTTCCACCAGGCGGTGATACAGCATAAAGCCCTTTGCCAGATGTCAGTGTCATGCTCTTGGCCTTCCCAGTCCCCTGATTCATGAGCCAAATAAATTTATTTTCTTTATAAATCACCCAGTCTGAGATATTTTTGTCTTAGCAACACAAAATGGACTGAGACATGAGATCAGGGGCATGAGGCTGAGAGTGGGAAGCACCATGCTCAAGGTCTCTCAGCTTGTACATGATGACTCTCCAAGTCTGGAACCCTGATCCCTTGATTCAGGTGATCCTGCTGGCTTTCCCCCTCCATTTGATAATAGAATAAATGTAGGGATTTACTTCCCTGAAGCTCAGCTATAGGAAATAAGCCAAGAGCTGGAAGCTGTTTGGCTACCACTGAGTAAGTAGTGGTACTCACTCCTCAGAATGACTATTGTTTGCTTGCGCTGCTTACCTGCATCTCTGTCCTTTTCCTAGTCTTATTCTCTCCTTTCTTCACTCCCACACCCATCCTAAACAAGTACATCCCACAACCCCTGCCACAAGGACACATTACCCATGTACGGACAAGATTGCTGATGTTTGTCTGCTGATGTGGCATTTTGCAAGGCAGATAATAGGGTATTGAGCAACGTTCTGGATCACTGGGGTGACTGCACCCCAAAGGTAGGCGATTTCTTTCCTATTGAGGCGAGGAATCCCTCAGAGGGGCAGGAGTTGGGCTCCACAGCCAGCCAGTTGCTTCTCTTGACTGTTCAAAGGGATTTAGGTCTCAAGGGAACCCATTTGCACTACAAGAAGAGGGTGGGAGTTGGCCTGGGAGAAGGGGTAGGTGTCTGGGAAATGTGGACAAAAGAATCAAGCAGGTTTGAGCTAAATCAAGAGAATGTTCGGCTCCGTTATGGGGCAGTTAGTTGCTGTTTGTAATATTCTTGTCCTATCTCCATATTTTGTTCTGTTTCTGTTCCCAGATTCACAGACCTGTTTTCTTTGGTTTTCAGAACTTTCCCCTGAAAGACACCCAGCCTTGTCCTCACCAGCCACTGCCCTGTTCACCATCCTCTTCCTTGTTAAAATTCCCTTTTGCTCAAGTACCAGTCACAGCTGTGCGACAGCGATATATTCCGGGAAATGTGTCATTATGTGATTTTGTGGTTGTGTGAATATCATAGAAGGTACTAACACAAACCAAATGGCAGAGCCTGCTACACACCCAGGCTTTATGGGATAGCCTGTCGCTGGTAGCTTACAAACCTATGTAGTATGTTACTATACTGAATGCTGTTGCAATTGTGACACCACGGTGTTTGTGCATCTAAACATATCTAAACATGAGAAAAGTGCAGTAAAAATAGAGTTATAATTTTATGGGACTACCATTGCATATCTGGTTTGTTATGGATTGAAACTTCATTATGTGGTACATGACTCTGTGTGTGTATATATATATATGTATATATGCACATATTATTTTTTTACAAATGTGTTCATAAGTAAATATGTGCATGTTTTTATGTATCAGCTTTTTACATATGTCTGCTTTCATGAAAATTATATATGCATAAAGATATATATCACATTAAAACTATATATACCGTTTTTAATGTTGTCACTTAACGCTATAAAATAAATGCCTTCTTAATGGGAGGGTTTAATGGAGATAGAGCAGGAGGCTTCTTAAGCAGCAGAAAAGCAGGTCGTCCTCTCCATGTACCCTCAATGCAGACTGTGATGAGCAGGCACAGAGGCGTCCGGGAGCTACTGCTAGTGACAGAGAATTCATGCTTTAACCTGAGTGCTCCGTCTCCCTGAGAGCCACGTAAATGAGCTGTCCTGCTCCAGCAGACACCCCTGGGGAAGTCTTGACGTTGGCCCCTTGGGCCCTTGCTTTCTCTTTGCAACTCTCAGTTGCTAGAGAATGGGGCTGTGAGTCGTGGTGGAGCTTACCTCCACTCCACAAGGAATACTTGTCCACAGATTTAGGAGAGCTTTTTCTATCCTTGAACTTCTTCCCCCTATGCTGTAAGTAAGAGCGGGTCACCTTCCAGAAACAAAACCTGTGGGAAGAATGGCTCCTGGTCACAGGCGGGAACCCCCAGTGGAGGGGGCTGGAGCACTGAGCACAGGGGAAATGGGCTAAGCCAGTCCTCGGAAAATGTGGGTGTCCGACAGAGAAGAGGAGAGCATCCTGGCCTCGGGGTACTACCTGCTAGTGGCCTTTTTTCTGAGGCCTCCTCTTTGTCCAGACCTGGCTCCAGTGAGGTCCTGGCATGGGCAGTTTGTTGGGACTTCTTTCTGGAACACCACTGGTGAATGGACCCTGTAAAGAGCCTGCTAGCCCCAGGCCTGAGGTGAGGCTAACCCCTGGGGTGCACCCCAGCATCAGACTCTGACATCCCTATCTGACCCCACCTGGCATGGCCAGAGGGCCTGAAGGGCTTTTGCTCAGGCCCTCAATCCTGGTTTCCACCCTGCCCCTTACTGAGAGCCTTGCCCATCCCACTCTATTCCCAGCAGGCCCTTCCCTGGAATAGACCTGGTTTCTCATGTGAACTCAGATTTATGTACTCTTTGTGACCTGAAAACTGTTGTTCTCTAGACGCCTGTGCAGCACATGCTATCTCTTTTTACCTGACTCCAAACCCCTTGTTATCCCTACCCTCAGCCAGTCCTTGGATTAGACCTTGGAGGTCAATCTTGGCTAAGACTGAATTTATTTTCTATGGCACTTTGGCTCTGGTGGCTTTGCTTGCTGTCCTCCTCCCCTCTCCTTGAGAGACAGTCTGCTCTATCCCAGTAGGCTCTTCCCATTTCACTTGCTGAACTGGGTCTCATAAATAATGCCACACATGCATTATTTATGGTGATGAGAGACGAAGAGACCTTGTTTCTAACGCTGGTTTTACCACTTACCGAGTGATCCTAGGCAAATCCCTCAAACACTCTGAACCTCCATCTCCTCATCGGTAAAATAGGAATAATAATACTCCTCCCCACCCACTGCATAGGGTTTGGGAGGAGTATTTAAGGTATATATGTAAACACAGTTTGCATAATATAAATCTCTTTATAAGTATGTAGGAAAGTAGGTAAAGAAACTGCAGGAAGAACAGGAATTCAAAGCCTCCCTAAAGCATGTCTGATTTTTCTAAGCGCTTAGGAGACGGTGGAACACTGGCTCATTCAAGAGAAGCATATATTTCCCAGAGATTCCCACTCCCTCCAAAAGTCTCCAGGTGAATGTCTATTGAGTCCTTGCCTGGAGAACTAGAATTAAGTGCTAGACAACATTTGATGTTCAAAATGCCAAGCTGCTTGTTTTGAACTTAGATTTTTGGACTTCTCTAGGTTCTGTATTAAATAATGTATTATCGTAGGGATTTTAAAATAAAGGTTAGAGACTGGTAAGCAATTTCACACTTATATTTTAGTAAAGTAACTATTTTTTTTGGTGGAAGATGGGAACTCCTAAGAGCCCAAGCCACATGATAGCCTAAGTGTCCTGATTAGCTTTGCCTGGGAACATTTCAGCCAGGTGTCCTCTGGTCATTACCACCCAAGGCATTGCCGTTCACCGTGTGGAAGACATGAGCTGGAACTCTGGCAGACCACAGGAATAAACAAGCAGCTGAGAGGGCTCAGGCCAGACCTCCACAGGACAGGTTAGAAACCAGTGGGCCACAGAATATCTGCAGATAGTTTGCTTGTTTCATTTTTGGTTTTTGGCCTTCACAGTTTCTTCACCAGGTTTTAGTTTTGTTAGTTGCCACATTTGCCACTTTAACCTTGAGAGAGAGGACATAAAAATTTGAGTTTCTAGCTCCTCTTGATAATTGGAGTATCTAGCAACTGTGCCCCCTCAGTAGTAATTATGGGGGTTTGGGCAGAGCAGAGCAAAACACTTCTGGCTTGCTTCCTTCATGCAGCTCCTTAAGCACAAGCGGTTGTGTTAGCCTTGACAGAATTTCTCCCCAAGTGGCTGTGGTTCACTCTTACCCTCTGGCGAGAAACCCAGGCCTAAGAAAACCTCACATTCTTACTCCAAGCAAGCACAGAAAGAGGAGAGGTGGGAAACCAGGAGTCTGGGTTCTCAGCCTTACTCTGCCTTCCGTCTGTGGATTCAGTGTTTGGTGTTCTGTGTGAGGGATGGAGTGAGGTGGGTAGGATAAGAAAACATCATCTTAGCTCCCCTAGAAACTGGAAACCATGAAACAGAGGGCTAGAGGAAGCCAGAAAACTCTCTCCAAACTAAGTGTGTTTTGCTGACCTGGCAGTCATTGAGTAAGGAGAAACAGTTACCTTTTCCAGAAGTACATAATGATGGGGAAGACAGACATGATAGCCCCGTGGAATACGCTCCGATCTAGGTTGCCCTCTGTGATGGCAGCAAGGATGGCATCCTTCTGGGATTCAGAGATATTCACCTACCCGCAGAGTGGGAGCCTGTCACTGGCAGGCCCCCAGAACCCCATGACCACCCCCTCTCCAGAAGGCAGAAGCTTTTCATGGAGTTGCTAGATAAAGGATATTGAGTTGGCTGGGACTTACAAGGTGCCTGACAATTAGTTTTCTAATTGTCCTTATGGGGGAAATGCTTCTTGGCGAAAGGCCAGAGTGGAATGTGAGTCTCTCTTACCCTCAGCTTTGGAGGGATGTCAGAGTTCAGGAAGAGCTTTTGGATAATGTTAATTTTGGAGCGCATTAGGATCACATCATTCTCGTTGTATACCCGGTTGACCTGCAGCACATGGGTTGAACTCACCAGATCATTAAATCTAAAAAAAAAAGATGTTAAGTAGGAAATCAGGAGGAGAAGATGAAAACAGTGACTAAGAAGGCGCCCAGCCTAGACTTACCTCCGGCCCAAAAAGGCAAGGCCAGTTCTAGGCCAGGTTATGGCTTGATTTATTCAGTTATAATTCATCCACTGGCAAATATTGAGCACCTATCACAGGTCAGATAACATGTCATGTGCCCCTTCAGGTGAATTTCTTCACCACAAACCCTCTTATTCGGCCCGTCATCCCTTCTTTACCCATTGCGGCCCAGCAGCATTTTCACTTCTAATGACTTCAGGACCTAAGGGCTATCTTGGTCTTCCCTCTCCTGTGCTGACCTGAGGCAAGTCCTGAGTTGCAGGCAGGTCCCAGTGCTGTAGACCACTTTAGGCAATGAGAGGAGGTTTGCACTCATTCCAGTGGTAATGGGAAAACAGTAGAACTTTTTAGGCAGGAGAATGATCTAGTCTGGCTTATGTTTTTAGTAGGACATGCTGGTTGCTATACAGAGAATAGTTTGCAGAGGTCAAGCGAGGAAGAAGAGGCAATGTGTTGGGAATTGGAGCAGCAGCAGGCAAGGCTGTTCACTCGGACTAGTACCTATTTCCCTCTGCTCTTCCCTTACCTCCCCCTACATACCTTATTATCTGACTAACCCCTACTCTACGTTCAAAATTTAGCTTAGATGACCCAAGAATTTTGGGCCTCCCACGAAACCATTCCTGAGGACTTGCAGTTGTCTAAGTATACTTCCTGTGCCTGATTCTCCCATAGCACCTATCATCCTGAGACATTTCCTAACTTTTATTTCTGTCTTTTCTGCCACACTCATTAGTTTGTGGAACCTTAGAAGTAGAGAACACATCTTAGTTGTTTTTGTATATATGATGTCAAATCCAGTGTTCAAGAAAGAGTAAACAATCAACAAGCATTTGTGGAAATGAGCTAAATCCATTACTGGGGTACAGTAGAAGATCTCTTAACCAAACATTTCTAACTGATGTATGAGTTACCAGGTGCCTAGAAAAACACACTGACTGATATCCATGACATGCCGACTGCATAGATTAGTGGGACATCTTTAGTACACTCTCACCTTTCTCAAACTAGTTGAGGTGAATGTGTACCAGGAGTTGTGTTTCTTTCCAAATATCTTTCCCTTCTGTAAAGATAATTAGTAACTATAATTGCCATGATAAGTAACTTGTGAAAACTGATAAAATATGAACATATTTTAAAAGTTCATATTTTAAAAGAAAAGTTGTTATTTCTAAAAAAACAAATTAGAATGTTTTGGAAATTCTAATGAAGGCAAGCAGCTTTTAAAAAAAAATGCTGTTGGTCAAGTGCAGTGGCTCATGCCTGTAATCCCAGCACTTTGGGAAGCCAAGGCAGGCAAATCACAAGGTCAGGAGATTGATATCATCCTGGCCAATATGGTAAAATCCTGTCTTTACTACAAAACTTAGCTGGGTATGGTGGCACGTATATGTAGTCCCAGCTACTTGGGAGGCTGAGTCAGGAGAATTGCTTGAACCTTAGTTGCAGTGAGGCAAGATTGCACCACTGCCCTCCAGCCTGAGGACAGAGCAAGATTCCATCTCAAAAAATAAAAAAAAAAAAAAAAACATAAAAATCCAGAAGGATTAAATTGCTTCCAAGTAATCTTTAAATTCTGTTCCACTTTAAAGAGATCAAAATTCAAATCAGTAGACAGACACTTTAAGTTCCAAAATGTTAGCGTAGAAGCAAGTTGGCTTCATTCCCCATATGGAAACTCAAAAGAAATAGTACTGAGGTTATTACCAGCAACGCCTCAGAATTCAAACATAGTGAGACAGAGGAGAAAAAAGTAAAATTACTTCAAAAGATCAAATCTAAATATTATTGGTGTTCAAGAGGGAGTTGAGCAAGAGCAAGGAAGATAAAACTTTCTCAAAACAATAACAGAAAACATTCTAAAACCTGACAAAGACATACATGTTCAGGTACAGGAAATCCAGAGAACATCAAATAAATTTGACCCAAATAAGACTACCCCAAGTATTATAGCAATCACCTCTTAAAGGTTAAGGACAAACAGAGAATCCTAAAAGCAGCAAAAGAAGAAAATAATATATAAAAAAGCTCCAATTCATCTGGCAACAGACTTCTCAATGGAAACCATACAGGCCAGGAGAAAACGAGAAAACATTTTCAAAGCGCCAAGAACAACAACAACAAAAAACACAAAAAAACCCCACTGTCCAAGAGTACTATATCCCACAAAGCTATCTTTCAACTATGAAGGGGAGATAGCCTTTCCTAGACAAACAAAAGCTGAGAGAATTCATGACCAACAGACATGTCTTACAAGAAATGCTAAAGAGAGTTCTGAAAGAAAATGAGACTAATATGCAAGAAGGAAACATTTGAAGCTATAAACTCATTGGTAAAAGTAAGTGCACAGACCAACCCAGAATATTCTAATATAGTCGTTGTGGTGTGCAGTTTACTCATAATCCTAGTGTGAAATCTAAAAAACAAATTTATCAGAAACAGCAATAGCTAAAGCAATCTGATATGAGATAAACAATAAAAAAACATGTAGATTGAGACAAAATGTCCAAATATTGAGAGGATGGAGTTAAAGTGTAGAGGTTCATTTTAGTTTTTTCTTTGTTTTTATTCTTTTCTTTGTGATGTATGATAAGTTGTCATCTCTTTAAAATAATTTGTTATATCCACAAAATATTTTTGGTAAGCCTCATAGTAACCACAATACAAAAACCTCTAATAGTTACATTAAAAATAAAAAGCAATGCTTTAAAATACACTACCAGAGAAAATTACTTAATCACAAAGAAGACAGTAAGAAAGGAAAAGAGGAGTTCAAAAACAACCAGAAAATAGGCAACAAAATGGCAGTAGTTTGTTCTTACTTATTAATAAGAATGTTGAATGTAAATAGACTCAATTCTCCAATTAAAAGAGGTACAGTGGCTGGATGACAAGAAACAAGACCCAACTACATGCTACTCACAAGAAACCCACTTCACCTATAAAAACACACATATACTGACAGTGAAGGGATGGAAAAGATTCTATGTGAGTAGAAACCAAAAAAACAAAAAACAAACAAACAAACAAAAAAACCAGGATAGCTATAGTTATATCAGACAAAATAGGATACAAGTTGAAGACTCTAAAAAGAGACAGAGTCACTATATAATGATAAAAGGGTCAATTCAGTAAGAGAATATAAAAATTATAAATATCTATGCATCCAACATGAGAACACCCAAGTATATGAAGCAAACATTAAAAGATCTAAAAGGAGAGAAGGATTGCAATACAATAATGGGAGATTTCAATGCCCCACTCTTAGTAATGGACTGATCATGCAGACAGAAAATCAATAACAAAATTGTAGTTAAACTACACACCACAACAAATAGGCCTAACTGACATTTACAGAATATTTCACCCAACTGCTACAGAATACACAATCTTTTCATCAGCACATGGAACATTTTCCAAAATAGACCATAAAACAAGTCTCAACAAATTTCTAAAAGTAGAAATAAAATCAAGGATCCTGTCTCACCATGATGGAAAAAAACTAGAAATCAATACCAAGTGAAACCTTGGAAACTGTACAGTATGTGGAAATTAAACAACATGCTCCTGAATGGCCAATGGGTCAACGAAGAAATAAAGAAGAAAATTAAAAAACTTCTTGAAACAAATGAAGATGGAAATAAAATATTCCAAAATCTATGGGCTACAACAAAAACAGTACTAAGAGGAAAGCTTAGAAAAATAAATACTTACATCAAAAAAGTAGAAAGACTTCAAATAACCCAATGATGCCCTCAAGAAATTGAAAAAACAAGAACAAACCAAACCCCAAAATTAGTAGAAGTAATAAAATATTAACAATAAATGTCAGAGTGGAAATAAGTGAAATTAAGACTAAAAAATCCCCAGAAGATTAATGAACAAGAAGTTGTTTTTTAAAAAATATAAACAAAATCATGAAGCCTTTAGCTAGACTGATAAAGGCAAGAGAAGACCCAAATAAATAAAATCAGAAACAAAAAAGAGACATAATCACTAGAGATTATTAGGTACAATTATACACCAACAAATTGGAAAGCCTAGGAGAAATGGATAAATTCTTGGACACACAAAAACTACCAGGTTGAATCATGAGGACACAGAAAACTCAAATGAACGAATAATGAGTAACAAGATTGAAGCCATAATAAGTTTCCCACCAAAGAAAATGCCAGGATCTGATGGCATTAATTCTACCAAAAATTTAAATAAAAACTGATACCAATTCTATTCAAACTCTTAAAAAATTCAAAAGGGGAGAATAGGAAAAACTCATTCTACAAGGCCAACATTGGCCTGCTACCAAAACCAGAAAAGGATGCAACAAAAAAAAGAAAACTACAGGCCAAAATCACTGATGAACACAGATGCATAAAGCCTCAACAAAATACTAGCAAGCCAAATTCAACAACACATTAAAAAGATCATTCACCATCATCTAATTGGATTTATCCCAGGAATATAAGGATGGTTCAACATATGCAAATCAATAAATGTGATATATCACATCAACAGAATCAAGAATAAGAGCCATATGATCATTTCAATAAATGGTGAAGAAGCATTCAATAAAATTCAACATCTCTTTATGACAAAAAAAAAACAAACAACAAATTGAGTACAGAAGAAACATACCTCAAAATGATAAATGCAAATATATGACAAACCCACAGCTAACATCATACTGAATGGGGAAAAACTTTAAATTTTCCTCTAAGATCTGAAACAAGTCAAGGATGCCCACTCTCATTACTCTTATTCAGTATAGTACTGGAAGTTCTAGCCAGAACAATTAGTCAAAAGAAAGAAATAAAGGGTATCCAAATTGGAAAGGAAGAAGTCAAATTAGCCTTGTTCACAGCTGACACTCTTATCTTTAGAAAAGCCTAAAGACTTCACCAATAGCCTATTAGAACTCATACATTCAGTAAAGTTGCAGAATACAAAATCAACATAAGAAAATCAGAAGCATTTATATACACCAACAATGAACAATCTGAAAAAGAAATCAAGAAAGCAATTTCATTGACAATAGCCACGAAAAGCATAAAATACCTAGGAATTAATTTAAACAAAGAACTGTAAGATATATACAAGGAAAATACTGATGAAAAAATTGAAAAGGACACACACACACACACAATTGAAGTACGTTCCATGCTAATGGATTGGAAAACATAACAGTATTAAAATGTCTATACTACCGAAATAAATTTATAGATTCAGTACAATTCCTATCAAAATACCAATGGCATTCTTCACAGTAATCGAAAAAACAATCCAAAAATTTACATGGAACCACAAAAGACCCTGAATAGTCAAAGCAATCCTGACCAAAAAGAACAAAGCCGAAGGCATCACTCTAGCTGACTTCAAAATATACTACAAAGCTATAGTAACTAAGTCAGCATGGTGCTGGCATAAAAACAGAAACAGAGAACAATGCAACAGAATAGACAATTCAGATGTAAATCTATGCCTTTGTAGCCAACTCACTTTTGACAGAGGTGGCAAGAATGTACAATGGGGGAAAGAACCATCTCTTCAATAAATGGTGCTGGGGAAACTAAATGTCCTTATGCAGCAGAATGAAATTGGACCACTATCTCTCACCATATACAAAAATCAAATAAAAATGTTTATCACATTTAGACTTAAATCTGAGACTCTGAAACTACTGGAAGAAAACATTGGGGAGACACGGCAGGACATTGGTTTGGGCAAAGGTTTTTGTGTAAGAAGCACAGGCAACCAATGCAAAAATACACAAATGGAATCGCATCAAGCTAAAAAGCTTCTGCACAGCAAAGGAAAAAAATCAACAAAATAAAGAGACAACTCACAGAATGTGAGAAAATATTTGCAAACTATCTATCAAACAGGAGATTAATCATCAGAATATATAAGGAGCTCTAACATCTGAATAATAGAAAACCCAAATAATCTGATTTTTAAAATACACAAAAGATCTAGACAGACATTTCTCAAAAGAAGACATAAAAATGCCCAAATGGTATATGAAAAACTGCGAACATCACAAATCATGAGAGAAACACAAGTCAAAACCACAATGAGCTATCATTTTACCCTACTTAAAATGGCTATTATCAAAAAGACATGGACGCTGGTGAGCATGTGTAAAAAGGGGCAACCTTGTACCAATTAGTACAGCCATTGTGGGAAACAGTATGGCGCTTCCTCAAAAAGCTAAAAATAGAACTTCCATGTGATCCAGCAATCCTAATACTGGGTATATGTCTAAAGGAAAGGAAATCAGTATGTTGAGATATTTGCATTCCCACGTTTACTGTAGCACTATTCACAATAGCCAGAATATGGAATCAACCTAAGGGTCCATCAATGGATGAATGGTTAAAGAAAATGTGGTGTATACAGATACACAATAAAATAGTGTTCGACCACAGAAAAGCAGGAAATCCTGTCATTTGCAGCAACACGGGTGGAGCTGTAGGTGATTATGTTAAGCAAAATAAGCCAAACACAGAAAGACAAATCACGTGTTTTTACTCATATGTGGGAGCTAAAAAAGGGGATCCCCCTTTCAAGTCATTACTAGAAGCTGGGAAGGGTAGGGGGTGGGGGATGAAGACAGTTTGATAAAGGGGTAGAAATACACAGTTAGAAGAAATAAGACCTGATTTTATGTATTAATTAAAAAAATAACTAGCAGACAGCTTTTGGGGTATAGTTAATACAAGAAAAATATACAGACCTCCCATTGTGGATTGACTTTGGCTTTAGATAAAAAATTTGACAGGTGAATTAATGTACGTTAATAAGACTTAACTTAAAAATATCTCTTTAATGTTATACAGACACACACAGACACACACACACACACACACACACACACACACACACAATTTATATTATAATTCCTGGCTTTAACTAAAGAATATGGGTACCATGGTGTTACATTTTAGGACTTTTTCACATTTATAAATAATAAAGAAAAACATGCTGCCTTTTCTTGGACTAAGTAACTGCATTTTAACATTGTAATTTCTGGAATACTGAAGAGCTTGTAGGATCCCAAGAAAAGAAAGATGGAAATCAATTGAGTGACAGCATTCAGCAGGATTTTCAGAAAGAGGGACTCTTACTGGGCAGGGCTGAAATCACTGTGTCTCTTATAGAGCAAGCCAGTTTTTGCTGGGCAGTACTAAGGATGAAAAGTCATTCTCAGGGCAGAAGAAGGAGAGGTGGGAAACTTACCTCTCCATTTCGGAAAAGAAATATAGATCATTGATCACAAAGTTGACAGTGATAATCCTGTGGCCAAATATACGGCGCTTTACAAGGGTTGTTTCTCCATTCTCTTGGTCTGCACTCCGGACGTTTGCGGTGGATGGAGCTGAACGTCCCGATGTGCTGTGTGGTGAGGTGAAATCTGAGAGAGAAAGAAGAGGGAATTACAATCTTGTTTGATTAAATACACAAATGGGATCACATCAAGCTAAAAAGCTTCTGCTTTTTAAAGAGCAAATTCAAAAACATAAGGCAGTTATTTTGTAAAATGTGAGATTTTGCAGTGCCTTAGGTTAGGTATTCCCTACCCTTGCTGGCTCCTTAAGCAGAGGGCTCTGGGCTTGCATCCTCTCTAGGCAGGCCTGGGGTTGGTTTTGCACACAGGACCTGGGGTTTTTTTTGCCAGACTCCAGGCTGCTACAGGCATGACACAAAGCAATAAGCTTCTTATGTGGGCTGACCCTGATGGCTAAAATATCGACAGGGAGTGGGGTAAATACAGAAATGACTTACTTTCCTTGCTATTTTGCATTTCCTGGTGAAGATAGTCTTCAAATTCCTGGCGCTTACTAGGATTCGACATAAATCTGCGGTACTTGCAAAAGCTCCTGATAAAGCTGATCATTCTCAGCCAGCCTTTCTTCTGGGGAAAGAAAGAGGGGTATAACATGTTCCTTAGTATAGCTGCTGTTCTCTGAGAGTCTACTGTATGCTAAACCTTGGCGTTCATTACATTGTATAATCTGCCCCAAATTAAGTAGCTGGTAGGTGAAAGATTCTAGCTTCAACGGTCATGGCTGGAGCCATTTGTTTATGCTCCTTCTACCACAGCCTTTCAACAGTGAAGATGTGAGATGCTGTGATTGGGAGAGGGGGCATGGGAGCTAAAACTGGAAGAAAAAGAGGACAGAAATAAAGAACCAAGGGCTCAGGCAAATTTTGAAACATGAAGGAATAAGGAAATGACATTTCTAAGCATTTAAAAAAGAAAATATAATTACTTGTACCCACTCATACACCTCATCTCTCTCTCTCCCTCTCTCTCTCTCTCTCTCTCTCTCACACACACACACACACACACACACACACAAATGAATTTTGTAAGTTTCTTTTTCTGTTTCTAAATAGGTACCCAGGAACCACTGTACATTTTATTTGTCCTTCAAGAAATTGATACCTAGAGCCAGAAAGACTCTTGTTGGTTAACTAGTTCAGCTGTCTCAGTCTGCAGGGAGGGAAACAACATAAGCATGGCTTTAGACAGAAAGCAGTGAAGTACAAAAAGCACTGAATTTGGGATCAAAAAGTGCCTTGAATCTTGAGTCTGGAGCTTAGCTTCTCAGAACCTAATTGCGTAATTTGTGTCAAGTTACTTAACCTGTGTCTCTGTCTCCACGTGTAAGATAGAAAGAATAGCCTTCAGGGTTGCAGTGAGACTCGGTGGTTATCTATGTAAACACCAATGCAGTGCTTGGCAAAGAGGAGGCATTCAGTACATGTTGGTTTCCTTTCATCTTATTTTCTAAGAACAACTGGAAGGCCTGAAATTAAACCAAGTACACTGGTTCTGGGTAAAGTATTCTTTTTAGTAGTCTATATGACCATTCATGGTGCCCTGACTTGGAGTTTATTCATACATGGAGAAAATACAGAGGAGAGAGACGAGAGCAATAGATTTTCATCCCTGGAGCATTGGATCATTGGGCTTAGGCATTATTTTCCGAGTTATCTTAGAATGATCTTTGGAGTCAGACAGAGCTGGGCTAAAATTGTTCCGATGCTGACCAGCTCTAAAACACATTGAGCAAGTGATTCTCTAAGGGGACATGTATTTTCTTTCTTTTTTTTTTGTTCTCAAACCACATAGAGAGTTTCCTGAGTAACATTCCTGTTTCCTCTTTCTTCCTTTTTTCTGTCCTCCCATAGGAGAAGGAATGAGCTAGATGGTTTGAAAGAAGGAAATGGTGCACTTTGTTCTCAGCACTTTGCATTCTCTCTCTGGTTTCTCTGTCTGCAGGACACTTTTTTTAAGCTCAGCTTTTGATATACAGTAAGAGATTCACCCTGGTAAGTGGAGGTCTAAGTTGTTCTGTTAGACCAGTGACTGGGTTTGTAAGTTTAATTTGGATGCAGAGGACCAGCAAAACCTCTTTGCTTCACTGCCAATCCACATCCTCCACACTAACTTTCAACTAGTAGAACTCCATGTGTCCAGTCCCTGTACCTATTACTAAGTTGATTCTAATCACAGGTAGAGAAGAGAGGAACTTCCTTAAATTCCTAGTATAACAATTTCTCTGAGTCTCGGATTCCTCCTTTGCAAAATGGGGATTTAAAAACCTACCCCTGAGACAGTGATTTTCTTGTCTCCAATGTCTTGTTCCACTTTCTTCTGCACTAACCTGGAATTCCTGTAGGCAAGTTGACACTGTCTTTGAGGCTTTCCTAGATGAAGGTTGTACTTCACTTTGTACTTCCACCTCCTGAGAGTGAGGTGGGAACAGGTCTTGATATTCTTTAAACCTGCCAGAAGGAGATCAGGAATATGAAACAGGACAAAAACTTGCCGCATAAAAGATAACAGTCCAGGCAAACCTACCACAGCTTCTGGAGGAAGTCTGAGTGGTAATTGGGGAATGATGAAATACCAAAAAATTCTCTTCTTACTATATCAGACCTTTGTTAGTGTCAGCCTAACCTTCCTGATCAACACTATTGTTTATTAATGCAAATAAACAGAAACGTGTGTGTGTGTGTGTGTGTGTGTGGTAGATAGGTGGGGGAGTTCAAGATAAGTTTGACTTTTTATTTTGTAGAGAGGCTCTGGCAATGACCTATGAAAATGGATTATGAAACCCTTGATGAATATGGCTTTCAGAAGCCAAGGAGCAACTCCAGAAAGAATCCTTTCTTTCATTGAGTATACTTACCACTTTTCTTCTATAGATTTCATAATATGTCCCTGGAGCTCTAACAATTTGGTCATGGTCACATGATGCATGTGAGTGATTTCTTTGATAATAGGGGCATCACACTGCAGCATTTCTTCTAGAAAATGCAAGAGAGAAAAGAAGCCGTAATCCGGGTCTACCATTTGAGATAGCTGGTGGTTTTTTCATCTTGAGTCTCACAACACCCATTCTCAATCTGGCTAAACTCTGAGTCCTCCACAGTTTGTTCGAAAATCTCCAAAGCATATTTGAAATGTGATGTGCAAACCCATTTGTAAACCAAATTCTTTTCCTCATTTGGTTTTATTCAAATTTCGAAGATGCGTGCTTAAGAGGAAAAAAATTTTTAAAGGACTTATTTCTGCAGCTGGTTTGAAAATTTGGATTTAGAGAGAAAGCAGAAGAGGAAAGGATTACAGTTAAATTGCTGGGCAGATGGGGAATCCAAGATTTCAGATAAGTATTGTGAGGGTGATATGGTTCTCCAGGTATTCATTCAGAGACTGTTGTGTTCATTGATGAGACTTGAAAATAATCAAGGACAGGATCTGGACACTTTTCCTCTTCTAGCTCATTCAAAATATTGTATAGAACTCAACATCCTGAGAGTCAACAGATAAATAATGCTTATGAATAAATATTTGTTAATTTGACCTATTTTTCTATATTCATAAAAAATTTATTTCCTTATCTTGGTTTACTAAAAGCAAAAACCAAACACACAAAAATACCATCTGTGACAAAATAGGAGGCGCTATCTTCATTGCAACTTCAGCTCTTGGCCAAGAAGACTTTATTTACCATATTTATCCTCCCAACTTAGGAAACAAAATAAGACACAACTTCTGAAACAAAGATTTTTCAGGTGCACAGTTCTCCTTCCCAGTACAAGTGTTTTCACAATTCATGGGTGGCAGACACGCCACCTTTGCAGACAGCTAACTCTTGCTTTTTGTATCTAGCTTCACCTTAGTTGGTTTAATGGTCAAATGACTTGAATTTGAATTCAAGTTCTACGAAGTGTACAAGCTAGTTAATCTCTCTGTTTCCCTTTCTTCATTAGTCAAGTGGAGATGCCTGTCCCTAAATTTCAGGGATTAAATAAAATTCTGCTTTTAGAATTAAATAAAATTAAATGAGAGGATTCATGTGAAAGTATCTTGCTCTTGGCTTCTTTTACTGGTGATATGATTTGACTCTGTGTCTCCACCTAAATCTCACCTTGAATTGTAATAATTCCCACATGTCAAGGGCAGGACCGGGGGAGATAACTGAATCATGGCGGTGGTTTCCCCCATGCTCTTCTCGTGATAGTGGGTGAGTTCTCATGACATATGATGGTTTTACAAGGGCTTCCCCCTTCCCTGGGCACTCATACTCTCTCTTGCCACCCTGTGAAGAGGTGCCCTCCACCATGACTGAAAGTTTGCTGAGGCCTCCCCAGCCATGTGGAACTGAATCAATTTCCCTTTTCTTTATAAATGACCAGCCTCAGGCATTTCTTCACAACAGTGTGAGGACAGACTAATACAACTCGTCTTAAGACTTTGGATTTATTATTACTGTTCTCTGCTTTTGCCCTCCCTCTTAATCTTTGTCTCAGTACTGCCCCATGAGGCTGTCACTCTGTACTGCTATCTCTGGGGTCTCACGTAAGACACGCTATTTCCCAGGCTATTCTCCTAAGACACTGAAGGGAGAAGGAAAACAGGATCAGAAGAGGTCACATACCAGGAGAGAGGTGGCCATGGAAGAAAGTGTTGACTACTTTTTCTATGAGAGACTTGCATGTCTTTTCATTGGTCTCTATACTGATCTTCTGTACAGCTATCAGGAATTGCAATGGGCTTCCAGCCTTCCGTTCTTCGAGGAACTCCCTGAAGAACTCCAAGTGCTGTGTATTTAAGAGGACTTCTGTCAAATTTCTGGAAAACAAGAAACCATCTTTGGCAGAGAGAAAGGAATGATGACTATGGATTCTGTCTCAATTAGAAAATGGGGAAGCGCATTGCCTAGGCTGTAGGGCCTTAAGCCATGTGTGAAGAGCACTGTGGATGAATTGGTTAAATCTGTTTGTTTCTTTGGTGATAAACTTGAACTTTCACGTACCCTTTCTAAGCCTGGTCCAATATCTTCCTTCCCAATGGAAGATGAAGGAAAATATTTTAACGGGTACAATTTTTTCAAGGGGATTCTCTTTTTACATTATGGATTCAAAACAACTCCTAATTGGCACTTATTTCTGTGAGGCAGGGCATGATTAGCAGTTTTTGATTAATGTTTCTAAATTTCCTTTGCTGGTTTCTTCTTTCACTGCTTCTTGAGTAAAGGTACCCCTAATGTTTCATCCTCAGTCCTCTATTCTTTTGCCTTATGGTTTTTCCTGAGTAATCTGTGCCTTCTCTGTGGTTTCAATGTTTATTGATAGGAGGAAGTGATTTCAAATTTTATTGATGTGGCGAAACTGTATCTCCAGTTCCCATATTCTCCACTTCTAAATTTGAACTGCCCATAAATCCTCATCTTTATGTCATAGTTATTATTTAAACCTCTCTACACACACACCCACATCTTGACCACTTGCTTTTCCTTTATATACCTATTTCATTAAGTATGATGTTAACCATAGATCTTTAATAGATGCCCTTTATCAGGATGAGATATTTCCCTTCTATTCTAATCTTATTGAGAGTTTCAAAAATCACAAATATGTGCTGGATTTTGTAAAAGGCTTTTTTTTTCTGCATCAGTTGAGATAATCATGTGAATTTCTTCCCCTTGTGTCATTAATATGGTATATTAACTGTTTTTTCATTCCTTGTATTCCTAGGATAAATTCCACTTGGTAACCCAGGCTGGAGTACAGTGACATGAACACAGCTCACTGCAGCCTTGACCTCCCAGGCTCAGGTGATCCCCCCCACCTTAGCCTCCAAGTAGCTGTAACTACAGGCGTGTACCATCATGCCCAGCTAATAATGTTTGTATTTTTTTTGGTAGAGATGGAGTTTCACTATGTTGCCCAGGCTTGTGTTAAACTCCTGAGCTCAAGCAATCTGCCCACTTTGGCTTCTCATAGTGCTGAGATTAGAGGCACGAGCCACCAAGCTTGGCCACTGATCTTTTTTATGTATTGCTGGATTTGATTTGCAAATATTGTATTGAAGGTTTTTGTATCTAGAAACTAGAGGGAGTAGTGGTCTGTGGTCTTCTTTTCTTATTATGTCTTTGGTCTGGCTTTGGGATCAGGATAATACTGGCCTCAAAGAATAGGGTGGCAAGTGTTTCTTCTTTCTCTGTTTCCTCAAAGAGGTCATGGAATATTGACATTACTTATCCTTTAAATATTTCATAGAACTCCGCAGTGAAGCTGTCTCTGCCTGGGTGTTTCTATGTGAGAAAACTTTAAATTACTAATTTGATTCTTTTCTTATTATAGATTTATTCACATTTTTTACTTTTCCTTGAAAGGTAGCTAGCTTACTTCAGAATTTACTTCATAAATTCTAGAAATTTATGTATTGCATCTAAGTTGCCTAATTTGTTTCTTGCATTTCCTTACAATCATATTAATTTCTGCAGGGCAGTAATTATATGCTCTTTAAAACCAGATGTTGATTATCTGTGTCATCTTATTTCCCTTGGTCAGTATATCTTACAATTTAACAATTGTATTGATCTCTACAAAAAACTAACTTATTTGCCTAGATTTTCTATGTTTTTCTCTTTTTCATCTATACATTAATAGTTATTATTTATTTCCTTTGAGTTTAGTTTGAAAATATAATCTCACTACCTTTGGTATCATTGTTTCTGATGTGAAATAAACTTTAATCTTGCTGTAGTTCCCTTGAATATGATACATCCTTTTTCTCCTGTAGCACTCAAGATTTTTCTGTCTTTATCTTTCAACAGTTCGATTATGATGTGTCTATGTGTGGATCTCTATGATTTTCTGTCAAAATCTCTATGATTTGGTCTGGCTAATGATTAAATCTGTTATTGATTGCCTTGAGTAAATTTTTCATTTCAGTTATATACTTTTCAATGCTAGATTTTTTGTTGTATTTTATAATTTCTGTCTCATTATTGATATTCTCTATTTGATTGATCATTGCCAGAATACCTTCCTTTAATTCTTTTTTTTTGAGACAGAGTCTTACTCTGTTGCCCAGGCTGCAGTGCAGTGGTGTGATCTAGACTCACTGCAACATTTGCCTCCAGGGTTCAAGCAATCTTTCTGCCTCAGCCTCCTGGGTAGCTCAGACTACAGGTGCGTACCACCACGCCCAGCTAATTCTTGTATTTTTAGTAGAGATGGGGTTTCACCATATTGGCCAGGCTGGTCTTGAACTCCTGACCTCATGATCCACCTTCCTTGGCCTCCCAAAGTGCTGGGATTACAGGTATAAGCCACTGTGCCCAGACTTCCTTTAATTCTTTAGACATGGTTTTCTTTAGTTTGTTGAACCTATTGCTTGGAAGTCTTTGGTCCAACATCTGAATCACCCTAGAGAGAGTTTCTATTGACTGCCTTTATTCTCCCTGTGGATGGGGCATACTTTTCTTGGATTTTTCTTTGCGTGTGTGTCTTATAATTTTTTGTCTAAAGTTGAATTTGGGATAATATATTATCACAACTCTGGATTCTGAATTTACACCCCACCGCTCATCCACCAAAGATTGCTGCTGTTGATGGTTTTGTTTGCTTTTTTAATATTTTGTTTTCTGTTAAATGACTTACGTGGGCTAGCTCTGTAGAATATATTTCCCCTGAAGTGTGTGGCTACTAAAGTGTCTGCTCAGCTGTTTCTCGTTTGAATTCATATTTTTCTTTATATACTAGTTTTCAGTGCCTCATGGTCAGCCAATGATAAACAGATAATTGGGCTTCTCTTCAGTCTGTCTTGAGCATCTCCACAGCATTTGCACAGTCCCTTGGGAATATCTTGCTCCCAGATTTTCCTTTTATACTTTTGGCTGTTTTACCGCTTGCCCAACTAGTATCACTGCCTTAAGTGGGTGTGAGAGTGGTCTCCTGGTTGTTTGCCACAAGGATGGCTATTGGTTTTGCTGGTCATCGGCTTTTTTGTGGAGCTCCAAACCGTATCAGTTTCTTCTGCTGGCAGTAAGATGGCTGGTACTAATGGCTGTCCAGCTTGTCAGTGATGCGGGTAATTACAAGTAACATGCCACGGATGACGCTGTTCTTACTGAGGTCTGGTTGTTTTCTTGCATAAACAGTTTTTGATTTGTTACATGCCTTCAGTTAATTGACAGAGCTCTGAAATTCTTTTTGACAGGTTTTCCCAGGTTTGCTTTTATGGAGTGACTACTTACAAAGTTCTTGCTCTACCATTCGAGAAATCTGAATCCCTTCCTTCATTGTTTTGTACATCTACATTTTCCCTTCCATTTCGCTTCCACGGTTTACTCAGATCTTTATTGTTTGCCTGAATGACTGCAAAGACTTTCCAACTATTATCTCTGCCTTCAACCTCTGGATGTCTGACTCTTTATATTCTCATTTCTGTCAGAGTAATATTTAAAAAATCCATATAACAGATACTTCCGCCACCCACTGCTCCAACAAACCCCGAAGAATCCTCACTGTCATTTAAACAATGCAAGTTCCTTCATAATCTACCCAAGACCTTTCTCTAATTATTTGGTCTCAATCTGGCTTTTAAATTTTATGTTTTATGTCCCTTCACCACATGCACTCTGTACTTCAACACCACTGGACTATTTTCAAGTCTTTGAATATTACATTTATATTCATGAGTTAATACTTCAATTTCTTTGCAATTGAATTTACACATGCAGTTCTGGGCATCTTTTGATATTCTAACTTTTCCTGATCCTCACTCAAAATTTCTCTCTCCTTTCACTATGCTCCCATATGTATTAGCTAATATTTTATCATAACATTTTAAGGTCAGCCTTGCATTTTCTTTAGTTACATAATTAGATTAAGGGCAAGGACTATGTCTTATTTTTGTATCATTAGAACTCACAGAGTGTCTAGAATACAGTATATGATCAATAGCCATTTACTTGTTGAATAAGAGATAGGGACAAGGTTTAAGAGGATTGCAACTGTGATATCCCCGAGCTATTCTGCTTGGTCTTAACCGAAGTCACGAAACTAGACTATATGACCCTGATATGTCTTCTAGAACTTAATTTTCTTACAGATATGTGATTTAAGACTTCTGTGGTATTCATGCTTAACTAAATTGGAAAATAAATATTTCTATAGACATAATGGAGAGCAGTGACTAGGACAAATTGGAAAAGCAAAAGGGACAAATGATTGAACCTCAGAGAATAATTTCAGTTGCTTAAAGGGAGCAAGATCTATTCAGAGTGCTTAGAAGAGACAAAAGACTTATCACCCTCAGTGAATATCATCAGTAAACGAAAACATTCTTGTCTGGGTACAAATGCCTGTAATCTCAGCACTTTGGAAGGCTGAGATGGGAGGATCACTTGAGCCCAGGAGTTTGAAAACAACCTAGGCAACATGGAAAGACCCAGTCTCTACAAAAAAAAAAAAAAAAAAAAAAAAAGCCAGGCATGGCAGCATGCACCTGTAGTCCCACACACTCAAGAGGCTGAAGTGGGTAGATCACTTGAGCCCAGGGAGGTTGAGAGGCTGAAGTGGGTAGATCACTTGAGCCCAGGGAGGTTGAGGCTGCAGTGAGCCGTAATTGAGCCACTGCACTCCAGCTGGGACAAAAAAAGTGAGATCCTGTCTCAAGAAAAAAAATTAATTAAAAAATTTTTTTTGTGGGAGTTTTTTTCTACGCAAAATATTCTGTGGACATTTTGATTAACATATTTATATGTTCTTCTATATCCTCATCATCTAGAAGAGGATCTAGCATATAGTTAGCCGTTATAGACAGAAAATAACTGAACAAATAAAAATACATGAGTAACTGAATGCTATGACCTACAATAAAATTATAGTCAAGTCAAGAAGTTGGAAAACATACCTAAAAAGTAAAGATCAGTAGAAAGTAGTACATGTAAGTGCTTGATATTGTACTTCAGACATTTAGGGTTTCAGACAAGAAGGAAGTTACAGCAAACATAATATTTGGAGAACTTTTTATGTATAGGTGGCACTTATGCCAAGGTACATGGAAACAAAGGTGGGTGGGCACTCCTGAAAGAAGAGGCCACAGGGTCTTTGCCTAGTTGTGGGACCTTACCAGAGGCCGATTCTCAGATTTATTATAAGTGGAGAGAGACAAGTAGTAAGAAACCATTATGTACAGCAGTACATAATCCAGCAAACACAAATAGGCAAAGAAACACGTACAAAGATGTTTATTGTGGTACTATTTATAGCAGTTAAAAAATTAAAGACAATGTAAAGTCTATATACGTTATACCACATTCAGGGAAGGAGGTAGATCAGCACATGCTGGCATGAGATGTCTATGATAGCCTAAGTTAAAAAAGTTATTGTATAATATATATGTAGCACACTGCTAATTTTAGAAAATAAATGATTTAAACTATGAAGAGTGTCTGTGCCTATATGTATTGTATATGGAAAAGGGTCCGAAAACCTACACATAGAAAGATAAGGTCAGTATTAGACATGTTGAGATTTTTCAGAAACCTGTGCCTGAAGATGTTGCTGTAGCCAGGTTCTGTATCTTACCTGGGTCTCACTGATGGCTTCCTTACACTAGATTTTTTGAGGAAGGACATTTTCCTGTTTGAGCGTGAAGCTCTCTTTTGTTTCTTGAAAATTTCCATTGCAAAATCTAAAAAAAAAAATCACTAAGTTGGAGAATGCTATATTATAAGCAATGAAAAGGGAGAAGTAGCAAAAACATTTTTCAGACATTAAGTTCATGTAAAAAAAAAAAAAAAAAAAAAAACCACTCTCTCCACAAACTGCCATCTCAGGTCATTTGTGTTAAGAACAGACTTAGGAATGACTGACATCCTGACATGAACATCAGTCCAGGTTATGTTATCTAAGTATATTGGCCTTTAGGTCTAATGCCCACCTTCCTCAGAGAGATTGCCTCTCTCCTCATGACATTAGTTAACACCAAATGTCAGGCCTCCTTCAATCAGCTGCTTTTACTAGACCAAATTCCACATGACATTCCGTCTTCCTTGACACTTCTATTGTCCTATCCTAAATCTTTCCATGTGTTCCCTGGAATTCCTGCTTTGCAAAAAGCAAACTTTCACATATTCTTGACCTCTTCTTTAAGAGTTCCCTCCATCTTCTTGTTCTAATAAAAACATTTTCTTTCCCAAGGACACTGCTTCCCCTTGTAAGCTTCTCAAATGATACTCTAGTACACTCTACAAGTTCAGAATGGGTGTCTGGTTCCCTATTGCCATTTAGAAATCATTATTGCCTGTAATATATCAAAACATCAGCTCATTCCTATAATCCCAGCACTTTGGGAAGCCGAAGTAGGAGGATCACTTGAGGCCAGGAGACTAAAACCAGTCTTGATAACACAGTGAGATCCCATCTCTACAAAAAAAAATTAAAATTGACTGGGTGTGGTGGTATGTACCTGTGGGCCTAGCTACTTGGAAGGGTGAGACGAGATCAGTTGAGCTTAGGAGTTTGAGGCTACAGTGAGCTATGATCACACCATTGCATTCTAGCCTGGGCAACAGAGCAAGACTCTGTCTATAAAAATAATTTTAAATAATAAAAACAAATAAAACATTATTATTGAAGAACAATAGATTTCATGAATCTCCATATCAAAGAGCCCTTTGAGGTTAACGTTGTAGAAGAAAACATAAACTATGAACTCATCAAGGGCAGAGATGATGTATTACTCATCTGACTTACGGAAATTAGGATATGACCTAGTTATATAGTCAATGTTTTAAAATGTTTTTTAAATACAATATACCCATTAGGAAATTTTTGTGTAGTTTGGCAATACTTTTTCAGAAAGCAATCAAAAAGTATGAAAAGAAATTGGATCTAAACAAATGCAACTGAGTAAGAAAAAATAAAATATAGACTATGGAAAATCAGATATAAAAATAAAATATAGACTGTGGAAGATCAGATATAAAACCAAACCAAAACAAAAATCCTCCCAATACAAAAGACCTAGATAAAATAATAGACTGGATAAAAATAATATACTTTCAAAGTATATACAATATACTTTGAAGTAAAAATAATATATTTTCAAAGTGAAAATAAATGTATAAAAAATTAAGACAAACAAAATCAATATATAGAGATTAGAAACAAAGAGGATGCTAAAACCTAGGAATGTCAGTTTATAACAGAACTTTAGCCACCCTAGAGGCATCTGCAGTGTTAGTCACAATGGGACACAAGACAAAGCCATAAGCCTTTAGAACATGGGCAAAACACTGGGCATTGCTTTTATTCTTAAGACATATGACAATTATGTAAACAAATTACTACTGGGGAATTTAGGAGAGCTTTTTGGCAGATTCTCAGGGGAGAAGGGGGCAAAAATTACAAAAGAGCAAAGGAGATGAGGCCCTGATAAACATCCCAAGCTTTCAATTGGGACTCCAAAGAGTAAGAAAAAAAAAAAAAAAAAAAAAAAGAAATAGCTGATCATCAAAGGGAATGAGAACTAGCTTTGAAATAACTTAATCCCTGAGTAAATTAAAGTTATTTGGATGCTACTAGTTTAGTGTATGTTGGAAGTAAAAATCCTCTCTGGAGGAAAATAACTTCATCCAGAGGTTCAAATTGGCTCTACAAATTTTCACCAATGATGTTCATAAATCAATCAGAAATAACAAGATATTTTAAAAGACTTCACTAAAAATCAAGGGGGGAAATGGCACTTGAAATAAGCAAAGAAAATTCAAGCATGAACTTTAAAATGACTATTAAAATAGTTCAAGTAATTATAAGACAGGAAAATATCAAAATAGACAATATTATAAAAAAATAGGAATTCTAGAAATAAAAAGTTTAATGATTACAATTTTAAAAAGTAATAGCTAGTAGATGAGTTAAATGACCAATTATACACAACTAAAGAGAAAATTGTTGAACTAGGAGTTAGATACAAAGGACATAACCAGACCGAAACATACAGAGGGGGAAAAATAAAAAATACAGAAAAAAGTATATGAAATATAGTTAAAATGTGAAAAATATGTGTAATAAAATTATCAGAAGACATAGAATAGAGCAGTAAAATACTTAAAGAGATAGTAATAAAAGATTCCCGAAACTGACAAAGGATATCTAGTCCAGAAGTCCCAAAGCTACAAGCACCCTAAAACCTGAGGCATATTACAGTAAGGTCATGCAAAAGCAAAGACAAAGGTAAAATGTGACAAGGGGAAAAAACAAGGGAAAAAAGAGAACGATTTTCTTCTACTAAGCAATGTCAATGAAAATGGACAGGTAACTCCTCAAATTGAACTAAGGAAGCCAACAGACAATGAGATAACATTTTCAAAGTATTAATAGAAAAGAACTCCAAGAAGAATTCTATGTCCAGAAACGATATTCTTCAGAAATAAAAGCAAAATAAGGACATTTTTCAGATGAACATTAAAGGAAATATCAAACGGCATTCTTTAGACATAAAAAAAATGCTAGATGGCAGCTTGGGGAGCAAAAATCAATGAAAAGGAAAGAGAAAGGTAAATATGAGAGTTAGCCTAAACAAATATGGAATCATAAAACAATAATACATTTTCAGTAGGAATACTGGTTTACATTAAATTTTGATGTGTCAAGGATGCATTTGAAAATCTATATGGTAAACACTAAAAGAAGAAGAAAACACCAAAAGAAGAGAAAAAATATAGAAATTATTGAGCTACCCCCCATCTTAATCTAAAAGAAAACCAAAAGCAAAGGAAAAGAAATACAGAACAGAAGGGACAAATAAAAAATAGTTACATAGAGTACCAAAATGACAGCATGGAAGGATGCTGGTTTCATTCCCCACGCACCACAACCCAGAAAACCAAAAACAAATGTACAACTCTGAGGTGATTGACAGAAATGTCCTGTAACTCAAATATAACATGAGACAGTTCCCAGGGATGCAGAGAAGTGAAAAAAAACTCTGAGCAGATGTTAAGAAAATTGGACTTCCACCTCTGAGATACCCCTCCCCGCATTCTGCCCAGCACCAAGTGCATGGAAAAATTTCCACCAACTTGCTGTTTCTACAATGGAAAAAGTGATATTGAGGTTTAAAAACAGCTTCTCCACCATCTTGGGTTTCCTGGCAGGGGAAGCATCTTCATGGGAAAAATTAAGAGTGCCTGAAGTGAAATTTGTTTTTGAGGACAGGCAAAGGGAGTAGGTGGGACTACCATACCCAGTTCTGGAAACTGTGCTCTATAAACCAGTCAAAGGAGACATCAAATCAGAGTGATTGTTCAGCAACACCACATTCTTGGAGGTTTGTCCCACAGGTCCCATGGGCAGAAACCCCTAGCTAGCCTTCCCACATTGCCAGGATCCCTTTGGGATCTCCTCCATTTGGGAAAAGCAGTGCTCCCATCCTTTACTAGAACAGGCAATTCTTAGGTTAAGGTGCCACCTAGAGCTGAAAAGGAGGCAGCGACCTAGCAGACCAGCTTGGGCAACACGGTAAGATATCAACTCTATTAAAAAAAAATTTAGCTGGGTATAGTGCTGCTTGCCTGTAGTCCCAGCTACTTGGGAGGCAGAGGCAGGAGGATCACTTGAGCTCAGGAAGTTGAGGCTGCAGTGAGCCATGTTTGCACCACTGCACTCCAGTCTGGGTGAAAGAGCAAAACTCTGTATCAAAACAAACGACAACAACAACAAAACTCTAAGCAAATATATTCAATAGAAAATAAAACAGGGATTTGAACCAGCAACCTTGCCGTTACAGGCAAGCCGTCTTAACCAACTGTGTAAATGGTCCAAAAAAAAAAAAAAAAAAAACCCAAAAAAAACAAGCCAGACAGAGAAGAGCGAAATAAATAATCCTTTAATGCAAAGACACATATGTAGACCCACATGAAACAAAAGCAAACAGAACCACAATCTTCCCAAATGGACCAAAACAAGGAACCTGAAACTAACACTAAGGAGACGGTGATTTGTGACCTCTCTGACAAAGAATTCAAAATAGTAGTTTTAAGGAAACTCAGTGATCTCCAAGATAACACAGAAAAACAATTCAGAAATCCACTGAAAAAATTTAACAAAGAAGTTGAAATAATAAAAGAAATTAAACAGAAATCTTGGAACTTAGAAATACATTTGCTGAACTGAAAAATTCATTAGAGGCTCCCAACAGCAAAATAGATCAAGGAGAGGAAAGAACCAGTGAACTCGAAGTCAGTCTATTTTAAAATACACAATCAGAGGAGAAAAAAAAATGTAAAAATCAACAAAGGTTTCCTACAAGATATAGAAAGTTATCTTAAAATAGAAAATTGAATTACTGGTGTTTGAGAGGGAATTGAGCAAGAGCAAGGGATAGAAAATGTATTCAAAAAATAATAATAATAGAAAACTTTCCAAAACTCGAGAAAGAGATAAATATCCAGGTACAGGAAGGTCAGAGAACACCTGACCCAAATAAGACTACCCGAAGGACTATAATAATCAAACACCCGAAAGTCAAGGACAAAGAGAAAAATACTAAAATACAGAAATAGATAAGAAGCAAATAGCATACGAAGGACTTCCAGTTCATCTAGTAACAGACTTCTCAATAGAAATCATATAGGCCAGGAGGGAGTTGACCAACACTTCCAGAGTGCTGAAAGAAAAACACCGCCA